ATTCAATATTCGCCTAGTATTCTTAAAATGTAAAATGTATATACAATATTCTATTGGATGTTCAACATAGTTTTAATTTTCATTTCCCTGATGTCTAACAAAATGCTTATTTGCCATTCATAAACCTTTTTTTAAAAAATATATTTTATTGAGACAACCAAGATGGCGGCATAGGTAAACACCCGAACTTGCTGCCGTGCACAACCACATTAAAACTACAACTAAAAGACAAAACTAGTATCATCCAGAACCACAGGAAGGCTGGCTGAGTGGAAATTCTACAACTAGAAGGAAAGAGAAAAGTGCATTGAGCCCGGGAGGAGGTGCAGAGGTGTGGAAGCGGGGAGGTACAGAGACACGTACGAAAAGGGCTGGCAGCTGGGTACGCAGTTGTCTTTTTCAATCGGAGGGAGATACAAGCTCCTGACTGCTCTGAACTCCAATTCTGGGCGAGAATATGGGGACCCAGACTCATACAGAGAGAAACTGGACTGTCTGGCATCGGGCCAGAACATGAGGGCGGCTTTCTCGCAGAGGTGCTTGCAGCGTTCATTATTCCTGCATGGGGCCGCGGAACACAGACCCCGGGACCTCTCTGAGCCAGAGCAGATTGGCAGCCATTGCGGTTTGCTCCGCCCTGGTGATTCCCTGAGAACCCGCCCCACCCAATTTACAACCCCACCCAAGCTGTGCGCAGAGGCTTTTGCATGCGAAAGGCCTGGCCTTTCTCTGCCTAAAAACCTGTCAAACTGTAGCTGGGTCAGAGAACCCCAGTCCTTCCAAAAGAAGGACTAAGGCTCGTCAGCAGCCTGCATTGCTTCACAGCTGAGCCTCATCTGGGCACTGCCAAACCCCAAACAAAGAGGAAGAATCTGCAGATCTCTCTGTAGCTCCTGCTGGGTGGCCTCAGGCAGTGGCTGAATTTGCACCTCCTTGGAGATCCAAGAGACAGTGTACCCAGTGGTGGGAAACCAATATAGGGTTAAGCCTCGGACTGACTTGTTGGCAAAGTCACAAACAAGTCCCAGCTTAGAGGGCACAGCCCGCTTAGCTTAATTAGGCTTGACCTTATAACACGCCCTAGATCTTATCTGGGAAGCTAATGGGCTGAGGGAAGTGCAGGAAGTGTAACTATGGTCAAAACAAGTGAAATTCACAAGAACTGTGTAACTATGGTAACCACTACTTTGTTTATCTCTGACTCTAAAATAGTTGGTGCAGCCTGAGCAGCGGTGGAAGTCCTTCCTCTTGAGTTGGACTTACCCGCCTGGCCCCCCAATATTCTCAAATTATCTCTTGTCTTTTCTCTTCATTTGTGTGCGGCTCCTCTTCCAGATCCTGAACCCTGAACCACGTGGGACGTGGAGGGAAACATTTACAACACACAGTGGTCAGAGTGAGACCATCCAGATTATAACGCTTCACACCCATAAGAGACACACTTAGGGGGCAGACTCAGTGAGCGTCAAAGCCCCACTGAAGCAAGTCCTGCCCCATAAGGGTGTCTCCAGCGCAGAAGTTCTCCCATTGTAGACACAACTGGTCCTCTCAGTCAATTGGTCTGGAGGTCAATTATTCCAGTGATACCAACAGCAATCAAGGCTTAACTACAATAAGACTGTGCACACAGCCCAAAAAGGGGTGCACCAAGAGTGTCCAACTCAGGTAATTAGGAAGGCTGAGCCATTGGGCCCTATAGGACACCTAGCACAGAAAGCCACTCTATCAACACAGGGAAGCAGCCAAAATGTGGAGACAAAGAAACAGGTAAAAAATGACAGAAATGGAGGAAAGCAAACTACTGGATATAGAGTTCAAAACCACGGTTATAAGGTTACTCAAGAATCTTCTAGAAACCTCCGAGAAATATAGTGAGACCCTCAAGGATATGAAAAAGGACCAATTGGAAATTAAGCATACAATGACTGAAATAAAGAATATTATACAGACTCCCAACAGCAGACTAGAGGATCCCAAGAATCAAGTCAAAGATTTGAAATACGAGGAAGCAAAGAACACCCACCCAGAAAAGCAAAAGGAAAAAAGAATACAAAAATATGAAGATAGTGCAAGGAGCCTGAGGCAACTTCAAGCATACCAACATCCGAATTATAGGGGTGCCAGAAGAAGAGAGAGAGCAAGATATTGAAAACCTATTTGAAGAAATAATGACAGAAAATTTCCCCCACCTGGTGAAAGAAATAGACTTACAGGTCCAAGAAGCGCGGAGAACCCCAAACAAAAGGAATCCAAAGAGGACCACACCAAGACACATCATCATTAAAATGCCAAGAGCAAAAGATAAAGAGAGAATCTTAAAAACAGCAAGAGAAAGAAACTCAGTTACCTACAAGGGAATACCCATACGACTGTCAGCTGATTTCTCAACAGAAACTTTGCAGGCCAGAAGGGAGTGGCAAGAAATATTCAAAGTGATGAATACCAAGAACCTACAACCAAGATTACTTTATCCAGCAAAGCTATCATTCAGAATTGAAGGTCAGATAAAGAGCTTCACAGATAAGGAAAAGCTAAAGGAGTTCATCACCACCAAGCCAGGATTATATGAAATGCTGAAAGGTATCCTTTAAGAAGAGGAAGAAAAAGGTAAAGATACAAATTATGAACAACAAATATGCATCTATCAACAAGTGAATCTAAGAATCAAGTGAATAAATAATCTGATGAACAGAATGAACTGTTGATTATAATAGAATCAGGGACATAGAAAGGGAATGGACTGACTATTCCTGGGGGGGAAAGGGGTGTGGGAGATGCGGGAAGAGACTGGACAAAAATCGTGCACCTATGGATGAGGACAGTGGGTGGGGAGTGAGGGCGGAGGGTGGGGCGGGAACTGGGAGGAGGGGAGTTATGGGGGGGAAAAAAAGAGGAACAAATGTAATAATCTGAACAATAAAGATTTAATTAAAAAAAATTTTATTTAAAATTTTAATAAAAATATAAAAAAAACAAACAAAAACAAAAAAAAACACAAAAGTTCCACTTTTAATAGTTTTTTGCTTCCCCACTATCTATACAGAACGGGGTCATAGTTATCACCACTTACTAAGCAAATGCACACCAGTTTCCATTGTATTCCTATTTAGTAGGACTTTTGCTACATTATCCTTGAAGGTTCACAAAAGTGCTAACTGGATTTTTTTAAAGTGCAGCAATAGGAAGACAAGTCTTCTTGCTTAATCCTGGGGAAAGCAAAACCTTTTCAATAATCCTAACTTTTTTTTTAATATATTTTATTGATTTTTTACAGAGAGGAAGGGAGAGAGATAGACAGTTAGAAACATCGATGAGAGAGAAACATCGATCAGCTGCCTCCTGCACACCCCCCACTGGGGATGTGCCCACAACCAAGGGCATGACCGGAATCGAACCTGGGACCCTTCAGTCCGCAAGCCGACGCTCTGTCCACTGAGCCAAACCAGTTTCGGCTATAATCCTAACTTTTAAGGATCTAATTGCCCGGCAGGCATGGCTCAATGGTTGAGCACAGACCTATGAACCAGGAGGTCACCTCGAGCTGTATCCCCAGTGTGGGGGTGCAGGAGGCAGCGAATCAATGATTCTCATCATTGTTTCTTTCTCTCTTTCCCTCTCCATTCCTCTTTGAAATCAATAAAAATGTACTTTTTAAAAAAGGATATAAGTGAAACACATTTATTGATATTGTGTAGGACACCATATTAAGTGCTGAGTTTTCTTATCTGGAAATTATAGATAACAGTACCTCCTGTTTTATCTGGAAATTATAGATAACAGTACCTCCTAAAGTCCCTTTTTAGGATTCAATGAGAATTATGTAGGTAGATTGTTAAAACTGTACCAGATCACAAGGATTCAATAAATGCAGGTTATTCTTTTTTCTTTTCTTTTTAATCCTCACCCGAGGATATTTTTCCATTGGTTTTTAGAGAGATTGGAAGAGAGAGGGAAAGACAGAGATAAACATCCATGTGAGATTGGTTCTCTCCTGGGGCACTAAGGGAAGGGGTAGGGGGAACCTACAACCGAGGTACGTGCCCTTGACCAGAATTGAACCAGGACCCTTAGGTCTGCAGGCCAACGCTCTATCCACTGAGCCAAATTATTATTTCTTTACATCTTTCCACTTTCATGCCAATTCTTATTTAATACAAATATTTCCCCCTCTGTGTTGCTTTGCATTTGGCTCAAATCTAAAAATAAGAAAATAAAAATAAAAATAATAGTGGAATAAGTAAGTTACTTCAGAAATGCACAGGAGGGGGTACCTAAGTCAACCTGGGGACAAGGACTGCCAGAAAATTTCACGTGTTAGATAGTAATCCCTCCACCCCAAAGAAAAACTTATTTCCTGAACTTTTTAAAAGTTTCTATACAGCAGCAATAAAGAAACTGACGCCAGAATTGGCTACGCTTCCTGCTGTCATAGCTGGAATGCAGGTCTCTTGAGACCCAGTTCTCCTTATTTGTTGCATTGAAAAGGTGGAAATTTATTGAAGAACAAGTACAGACTCCACGTGGGGAGGGGAAAGAATCTCACAGCACAGACTCCCATGTGGGGAGGCAGAAAGAGTCCCCCAGACCCAGTTCCTGAGTTGCCCTATAGGTTTGTGGGAACTCACCACACTCATGGGCATCGTCAAATGATCTGGCGTGTTCCAATCGACTCCATCCCATTCTTGGTATGTTGACCATATCTGGAATTACTTCAAGCACTAAAATACATCACAGGCTACCGCCCACAGCCTATAAACCCAGTCAAAGGCCGTGGAGAGTCAGGATTAACGTGGACCAAGACTATCACCTAACTGCGGCTGCAAGGTGGGCAGAGGTGGGTTGAGGGTATCAAGTGGGTAAGCACCAGGAACTGTCGGCGGAGGAGACAAGTTTATACTCAGAAAAGCAGAAAAACACAAAAGGTTACTTTAAAAAACAACAAACTCTCCAGGCGCGCAGAGGGGCCCGACAAACAGCAATGCCTGGACGGAGATACCTACGGCATTTCCACACTGAGGGAAGGACCACTGCCGCTGGATCAAACTAAGCGAGCAACCTTCTCGCAGACAGAACCTCCCGGAGGAAACGCGGAACCTGAAAAGCGCGGGCGAGCCGGCGTCGACGAGGTGTCACACTCAATGTAGCCCGCCGGAAACACAGACCCGCGACAACGCATCCGAGTTCCTGCGGGGAAAGGAGGAGGGGGTGTCGGTCAGAGACCGCATCCAGCCCCTTGCAGTGCAGCCCAGGAAGGACCCTCGCTCACGATGCTGGCCATACCAGCCCCGGTGGCGGAGCAACAGGACCGTCTCTGACCACTGTGGATTAACGATCCCTAGATTCCTAGCCGGACCTTTTTGGGAGGTGCGCTGCGTCTGATTTCCGGTGGCAGCGAGGTTCAGTTGCCATGGTAATTAGAGAGAGGCCGAGGTCCGTCCGGCTTCGGTGAGCGGATCGTGGAATCCGTGCAGAGAATTGGCTGCGCCCGTTCGTCTGTAAACTGCAATTAGGTAGCGATCAAGCCGCGGTCTCTCTCTGCGCGTCGTGTCCCTTCCTGCTCAGCTTTCCTCTCACCCGCTTCGTTACCTTCTCTGTCATACTAACACCGGGTGCACGGCGGGACCTGAAATGTACGCTTAAATGCAGGCTCATGCTCTGAGAAATACAGAGAGACAGCGATGCTGCCCGGGATCAGCTGTGTGCACATGTTTCTCCGCGTGGGGACGGTGTGGCTGGCGCTCTGTTTCCACTCGGCCCTGGAAAAGCCCGAGGCGCTTGTTCGTTTATTTTTCTCGCTACCGTGTGGCTGGTTATTGATGGAGCCGTTTGCTGCAATGTGCTCTCTAGGCCCCTGCCTGGCGCTCGGGCTGGAGTTTTAAATGAAGGAGGTTTCCAAGCCTGAGGGGGTCCAGTTATATATTTATTTAAGCCTAGTTTCGGCTCCCCTCACAGAAAGGGAAAGAATAGAATTCTGTAACATTTCTGCCGGGGGATTTCCACGGGAGGGAGGCACCTTATTTGGAAAATACGTATTCGAAGACAATCCAAATAAATAAATAAAACCCATCACATTTTAAAATTGCTTGCTGCAAAATGCACGTCCTCTCTTCCTCGTTGGAACGGTTTTCTTTCCCATTTTTTTTGGAGGAGATGCGTGGACGCATATGTGTTTAAAACTCTGATGCTTAATTATCGTGATACCAATTTGCAGTAACCAGACTGTGACACCACATCCCTATGGGGTCCTTCTAAATCTGGTGTAATAGGAAAGTGTCAGGCAGGCGGTCTGTGTATTATAAATAGGGTACTTCATCCATGATAAGCGATTATTATCTTTCTTTCCCAAGTGTAAAAGACCTATATAATTCAAGAAGGTGCAAGTGATTTAGGCCTCTTGAGTAAGAATCCAATGAGTCCTGAAGGGGACCCTACCTGTGTCGTCTTATTGTTGAACTTGAAATATTCAATTTATTAGGCTGGAATGTATTTTTTAAAGTCAAAGCTGGGTAAAATAATGTTGGAAGCTGTTAGACGGCCAGCACGATTTAGTGCCTCATTGTAACTATTGTACAAGAAGCCTTCATGCACATTAATAAAGAAGCAACGGTTACTGAAATTTACTGACTTTGGCTACCTACTGTTCAGTTGGTGACTCTGCCCCTCAATTTTCTCATCTGTAAAATGGACTAAAAATACCTGACCACTGTAGTAGGGATACATCATGATGTATGACAGTTTTTTAAGCTCTTATGAGCAGAGGTGTTATATAAACCCAAAACATTATTGTTAGTAATGGAACACAGTAAAATCTCATAACACTATAAATGGGATTTTTAAAAACCAGTCATGTAAAATGTGGGGCTGCATTATTGAAAGGTTAGTGAAATGACCTGCTTGATCCTGCTGTGGAGATGGATGCCAACTGCCAATCACATTACATCCACGATCTTGTTACTATGGCGTTTCACTCTCTGTACAGCTTCTTTAGCACTTAATTTGTGCCAAGCACTGTTCTGGATGCTTCACATATATTAACTTACTAGTATTTAATCCTCATGACAATCCTATGAAGAGTCTTAACTGACTGTCCTGTTATTTTGAGAGAATAGATGTAGGTTTTTCCTTTCCTATGATTCTTTGTATTTGTTACATCTTTGTTTTGGTTTTGTTCTTTGGTATATACATATATATTAATAAAGCAGAAACTTTTCTAGTTTACCAGATAATACAACCTTATGCATAATATAATGTTCATCTTTTTTTCCTCCACAACTAAAAACTCTAATGTCTTGATCCTCCTGCTCTCATTTGAAAGGCAAGATGACATTTGCACTTTAGGGGATTAACATTTACTAAACCAGTTTTTAAAATTATTTTTTAGTAGAATGGCCATCAGTCCAGGAAGTGATGCAGCCTTCTCCAGTCAGAAATCATCGCTTTCCGAGAGTCCTCGAACAAAGAAATATCCACTAACTGAAGAGGAGATATTTTATATGAACTGTAGAGCTGCCTACTTAACTGTTTTCAAAAGCAGCTTAGAAAACATTATTTCTAAAGACCAACTTTACTTAGGTAAAAAATAAAAAGTATTTTGCCTTATTTGTTGAAAGTTAATTAAATCAGAAAGACTGGAATTAGAATTATGTTGTCAAATCATCCCAATTTTAGTTTGAGCAATGGAACTACTACATTATGCTATCATGCTATTTTATATAGTTACATATTGTAGCATCTTCAAAATAAAACTTTCAATGTTTATGCAGGATAGAATTGTACTTTTAAACCTGTCAATTACTTTCAAATTTTTTTAAATTCTCATTTTGGTACAGGAAGATTGACAATAGAATTAAAACACTTTCGGCATCTGAATAGCTACTCTGAATTTGACCTATATTAAGGAAAATGTAAAGGATATATAACAATGGGGTGAATAGCTATAAAAGAAAAGTATTAGGAAACTAGAGGCCTGGTGTACAAATTTGTGCACGGGTGGGGTCCCTCGGCCTGTCCGGCGATTGGGGCTGATCAGGTCCGGCTGGCGGGGGGAGGGACCGCAGGAGGTTGGCTGTGGGAGTGCACTGACCATAGAGGGCAGCTCTTGCGTTGAGGGTGGTCAGTGCGTGTCATAGCAACCCTGGTGGTCAGTTCACGTCATAGCTACCAGCCAGTTGTCCGGTTCTAACAGTCGCTTCAGCTTTTATATATATAGACTAGAGGCCCAATGCACGAAGATTTGTGCAAGAATGGGTCTTCCTTCCCCTGGCTGCCGGCACCGCTTTTGCTTCAGCCGGAGCCGCCTTTCTGCCTTTGCTCCGGCCTGGAGCTGCCCTTCTGCCTTCCCACGCTGCCAGAGGCCCGGAGCAGCTGGGGCGGTGCGGAATGCCCGCATCATCACCATGCCCGCCCCCCCCCCACCACCACCCCCGGCCACTTGGTGCCTGCGCACGTGCGCGCTGCCCACAGGCCCGCCATCCTTGTTGGGTTAATTTGCATACTCCTGATTGACTTGGGGTGTTGTGAAAGTATGGCCAATTTACATATTTGTCTATTATTAGTGTAGATAACTGAATTTTTAAAAATATATATATTTTATTGATTTTTTACAGAGAGGAAGGGAGAGGGATAGAGAGTTAGAAACATGGATGAGAGAAACATCAATCAGCTGCCTCCTGCTCACCCCCCACTGGGGATGTGCCAGCAACCAAGGCACATGCCCTTGACTGGAATCGAACCCAGGACCCTCCAGTCCGCAGGCTGACGCTCTATCCACTGAGCCAAACCGGTTAGGGTGAAATACCATTTCTTTACATGGGCTTTTGACTTCAAATAACTTCACTGAGGTCCTACTTGTAGTCCCAGCATTTATTTATTTAAATATATTTTTATTGATTTCAGAGAGAAAGGGAGAGGGGGAGAGAGAGAGAAACATCAATGAAGAGAGAGAATCATTGATAGAGTGCCTCCTGCAGGCCTCCTACTGAGGATCGAGCCCACAACCCAGGCATGTGCCCTTGTCTGGAATCAAACCTGCGACCCTTCAGTCCACAGGCTAAAGCTCTATCCACTGAGCCAAACCGGCTAGAGTGTATCCCCAGCTTTTAAAGCAAGCATGTCAAACTCAAAGGCTAACACGGGCCAAGTTTACGTGGGCCGCAAAAAAACAAAAGCTTCAATTTTCATAGGAACGTAGGTTTATTTCAATGGAGACATGCTGAATACAAAAGGCTGAAATAAACGAGTAATCGTTAACATAAAATAATAGAACATTTTAATAAAAATTAACATTTTTTCTTGAACATTACCTTACCAGACACTGAATAACTGCACAAAATTAATAAGCGCCATGCAAATAAACCTATTTTTCTTGTTCTCTGAAAGCCAAATATTTCCTGTTGCGCACACCAAACAAGTCAGTCCAAGACTAATGACATGGCAATTAGTCTAAAAATTTGCTAAAATATTTGCTGCTAGTATTAGTGGAGAGAAATGGTGCGCCTGCGCATAAGGTGCGTAAGGGAAATGAATGCAACATGATTATAGTAATCAGTCATTAGCAAATGTTGTAGTTTGTTATTAATAATTATGTATAACCGGGTATTGTAAAACTTAAGTTACAAAATTTTTATTAAAACGTTTCTTACATGTCATTATATTGGCTGGCCCGCATAAATGTTCGTATTGGGCCGCATGTGGCCTGTGGGCAGCGAGTTTGACGTGCTTGTTTTAAAGGGTAAAGGTTGGCTGGCGATGGAGTACTAAAACATTTATCTTTATCTTCTTGATAGATGAATTAAGGAATTGTCCATTTATAAACTAGGCAAAATACTGCTCTTTATTCCTAGGTCAGCATGGTAATCAGTATTTTTGTCTACATCCAGAATAAACCTGTGGAAATAAAAAAAAAATTATATTATCTCCACTGTTACAAATTTCCACAAAGGCTTTCTAGGTGAACAGAAGATGTCAATTACTACAGCTACACCTTTTGTAGCTCTGAAAGGCACCTCTAGATGATGAACTTGTTTCTATTCCTGTGCCAAAGTTTTGTCTAGAAATGATGCACTAGTATAATCTGGAGGATGGGGACATTTCTCTTGGTCTATGGACTTCTAATATGTTATGAACTAT